TCTTAACAATTTTCGGGCCTTTACTTTCTAACCGCACGGCACGCTGGTGCGTGTAGTGGAAGCACATACGCGCACTCACACCTAGACACGCAATTACGTGTTAATGGCATGAAACAAGCTCTACTCATTGACACTGCACACCGCCTCTGGCCGTGTCTTTCGATAAGTGCTACACTTTGGCCCAACTCAAGCCATGCTCTCCACGAGCCATTAGTCGGACCCATAACAGCTTCCGCTTACCCAATTGAGGCTACCGGGGCCATACACTTCCATGTCCGTGACAAATCACAAACGAAGTAATCTCTTCATTTTACAATGGACACCCAGCATTGACATCTTGGTTTCGTCCTGTCCTCCCCTTGGTGTTACATATTAGTTAACCGGCCGATCCCCACTGATTCCGTAGGTTTGTGCATATTGCGGTTTTACACGCCGAGCATTCGCTCCCACATTGGCGTCTGTGTGGGGTGTCGGGCTCGGCAGAAAACATTAAAATTACTCTTCAATATGCCAGCTTAAAGAAACCCTCTCGACAGTTGAGAACTGAAGTTATTATCACCTACGGATGCACGCCATTTTATTGAAGGAGGAAACCACAAATCCCCTTAAGTGAATTTTATGGCGGTTGTTGCTGGCATCGACGACCGAGAACGCACTGCCTTGTGCTGAACTGATTAACTCGTGCACCGACGACTATACGACACACATACACACATCGAAAGAGTACCGACAAGGATTTCATGTCGTCCTCGTAGCTTTGTGTTTGTCTTTATTAAAAAATACCAAAACTAAATAAGCGACGGCAACAACACAGTCAGGAGAATGAGAAAGAACGTTATTGTTTCAGTTTACGCATAAACAGCAGCTACGTGAGTGCATTTGGAACTCATTTGAGTCGATGAGATGGGGGAATAACACACAATTCATTTCCTTTGTGCCAGCGAAAGGATGTGTAGGGAAGAGGAACACCAAGCTGGAAAAAACTAACTGCAAGCGCGGCAAGGTTGTGGCAGATTATTCATTCATACATACATACACATATATACATATAACAAAACTAAAGTGGATAGAACAAAAACAGTAGACAACGGGAAAGAATCCCCATTGCATTTAAATAGGAATATAATTCAAATGCTTTAAATGGCACTGCAAGGGCCAAGGAGAGACTCATAAACACAATATGAGCCTGACACATAGGTCGATATCTGCGACCTGAATGTTGTACTTCGGACATAGCGGTCGCGTTCATACTGGTGGCCAACAGAGCCCCAACCCTCACTAGTCTGACGAACTAGAAGCGGAGAGGGTGGCTGGCTCTACCAGAAATGTCGTATATGCTTCCTATATCCGTAAATACCTTCCATTCGGGAGAATTTGAAATGGTTGGCTAATTAGATTTCCGTTTAGTTTATTTTTCACTCGCACTCGCCGCTGTCTGTGATCATTAATGAATTGGAATTACGCAGAAACAATCTTTTTAATGCATCCAAAGAGGGTGGTCTACCCAACTTTGGCCATCTTTCAAAATGGACTGCAAAAAGACCATTACTTCTGTTATCCCCTCATAACAGCTGAATATACCAACCAATGTGTTTGAGACATACCAAACGGTAAGTTTGCTGGCACAAAAATGTAACTGGTTATCCTTTGTAGTACCATTCAGATTCGTAATGAGTTGCTTTCTTCTGGGAATCTTTTTCCGTTTGTAAGCAACAAAAGACAACTAATTTACGCGAAAGCATATTTAACGTATAACGTCCAAGTATTTCTAGACAACGAAGACACAACCGGTTGAATATCTCGATCACTGCAGAAGCCAGTTTGAATTTGGGATGAACAATAAATTCCTGATGCATTGCCTTTGGCTGTCTTAAATGCAGTCCCCAGTTCCAAATTCTCAAAGAACACAAGCGATTATGAGATTGCTATATTTTGAAGTAATAATTATTTGTGCAATAATTTAAATAATTATAAAATAAAACGGGTTGATGTGATTGTGCGTCAAAAACAAACAAAGCGTAACACATTCGAAAAAGAAAGTTTGCAGATAGACAACACGAATATGAAAACGAAGTAGAAATGATAAGATTGGCCTTATGCTTGCATATAACGCCAACAAAAAAAGATAATTGCATTTTGATTCAAATCTTTTTTTTTTTGCGTGATACGAGGAATAGGGTATTATTAGAGTTCTAGAACATTATCGCTAAAATTCCTTCAATAATTAATGTTTTTGCTAATAAATAAAAGTGCAAAAAACAGATTTACTAACACAAAACGTTAAAGTCATGCTGCGAATCCATATCACTTTTCAATACTTTATTCGAATCGAATTCGAATTCAAGAATTAAAAAATAAAACAACGAAAGTCCAGGTTGGAGTGACAACATCCCTTCCAGCCTGATGCTTGGACATGCTAACAATAAAGCGTAGAGCCAAATTGCTTGGGGGCATATTTCCGATCTTTCATATCGCATTAGAAGATGGTTTTGTTTTTCTCTTCCTTTTGTTTGGAAAGTTGTGCAACCAAATTTTATTGAACGACCAAAACGAGCTTCATAGAAATAACGGGCAGGACATTTAAAATACTTCCATTGGTATCTGCCAGTCTGGCTGGCGCGCATGATAACTCCCAATTTTTTATTATCAAATTTAGATAGAGATCAGAGATGGATCATATTTGTCCACTAATTCTGGAACCTCAAGCACAAAAGTTAAAATTCTAGAACAAGAAAGGATCAAGCTGATATTTGCGTCAGTAGTGCGATTCTCTTTTGAGTTAAAGACAAAAAACGCTTAAAATTAAATCATTTAATATTTTGGTATGTATCGAAATTGTTCGGCAGGTTAGCATTCAAAATAAAGTGGTCGCTAAGTCCTACCCATAACAATAGAGCTGTTAACTTTAATTCATTCATAATTTTGTATTTTAAGTACCGCTCTTTCTTGTACCTCCCTCGCAAAGGTTTGTGGATAGAACCCCCACGTTTGATCATAGGCTCATACATCAGCACCGGCCGATTTGACTTATTTTCTTGATTCTGGACTGGGAAATGAGGGGTATTGATGGATTCAATACACTAACACCACGGTATTGTAAATTATCCGATCGACTTGTACTTTGATTTCTTATATAAGATTTGGTACAATATTTTTGGATCGCAGATGAGTCAACTTTATGCATTTCCTTTCGAATTTAGCCAGATTCTGAATGAAGGCTGGAGGTTGTGGCCCGACGGACTTTGCTTCCACAATATTGAGACAACAAAACAGGAATTAAGCCTGATTTTAGATACGCCGTCCACAGGGCAACAATGCATGTATATGTATGTTACATATTTGTTGAGGAAAACGCTGAACAATAAGAGCTTGTCATTTGGTGTTGCCATATTCCTCCAAATTGTGTTTTATTGTTATTGTTGTTTTTCAATTCGATATACCACACTTTACGTTTTTAATAATGTCGCAGAACTTGTGATAGCAAGTTTTCAATAAATTGTCGCCTTCATGCGAATTTAGAATACCAGCAAGTCGTATGCCGACACGCCTTTGCGGTTTCCTCGGTTAGGTCTACAAAATAAGGCAACATTTAAAGTTCTGTGATAATATTTTACATGAACCCTTGCGGCCATCGCTACTTTTCATCCATCGCTTCATCCATTTGCACATTAAAGAAATAATTTTGGCGACCTATTGTGTCGCCAAATCTTGGAAGGGGCATTCTGTTTTATGTTGCCACATTTGGGTAGACAAAGAAGAAGGAAGAATAATTGGTCCATCATTTGGACGTCCAAAGCGACGAGCGCTCACTCTGTGCGACAATAGTCTTAAATTGTACAGATATTGTTATAGTTTGGTGGGTATACACCCCGCAACGTGTCAGCGTCCTCAATTTTTTATTTCCGCCATAAAACACATTGTAAATTGAAGTTTCCCCTTCCGAAGTCAGTGGAGGACATGGGCGAAGCATGCGGTTGCTAAAGATTGACCATCGTTTTAATATTTTGCTAAATATTTATGTTTGGAAACTGTCGAATCGAAAATGGCTGTACCATGGCGCCCAAACACACACACACACACCACACACTCGAACTCATTGACACACACGCAGTAAAAACCAACTGCTTTGTGCGTAAGCGTGTTGTATATAGCCTGGTGGGTGGTGAATGCGAGTGGAGAGCACGTCAGGCGGACAAATCTTCACATCAATTCCCGATTGCGGCAATGGTGTCGAAATGTAAAACTGAAAAGTTTGGAAGTTGTATATGTTTCGTAATCCGGTTGCACGGAATAGTTAGTCGGCTTCGCCTCCCCGTATTGCACCCAGCATGGGCAGTGCATCCACATGTTGGACACACATCAGCACCGCTGTCGGAGTGGCGCTGGGACTCGTGCGGACGTACCTTATCCCCGTCGCCCGGCGAATGGTGTGTTAATTAATTGCTCAATTAACTTGATGTTTACCATCTGTTACTGGATACAGCAATAACACTTTATTTCGCAGCCAAACTTGAAGAATCCCGATGATGTTTATGGCTGCGGTGCTGGTGCTTTTGTGAGGGTGACGGAGGTTTGATTTCTGATTCTGTATGCCGTAGCTATGCGAACCGCCCAACCCAACCACAGAGAAATAGAAAGAAACGTGAAACGTCCTCGAGTCTGCATCCAGGGCACAACACAAGTTTGAGCAAAAGTGGGTGTGCGATATATTTAATCGCCAAAGAAGTAACATTCAACTTTCCGTCCGGCAACATAATACTTGCCAAAAGTTCACAAGTCAATTGTTGAGCATTTTGGCATCCCCGTCTTCGCTTCCGAGCCGCCTCCCATACATTGGATGGAGATTTATTACCTTCTGCTGAAAACGTAAGAGACGAGGAAGAAAGGGAGAACTTAATTTTAATATTTTGCATTTTGATGGGAATTTCCGTGAGAATGGTGCAGTTCAAGGGCAAATTATTTGTTGTCAGACATTTTGAGGGAATAAAACTCACGCCAGGTCTTTGCTGGAAAGATTAGGGTGCACGCACATGCACTACACACATTTATTCTTGCTTACTTAAGTTGGCCAAAATAATTTTTTTAGACATTGAAATGGAGTACTTAAAGCTAGTTTGTCCCTGTCTCTTTATATATCTTAAAACTAACGAGCGCCTAGGACGAGGACCGTCTACGTCCACACACTGTATCCTTTGAGAGTGTCCTTGGCGTAACCACTGCTTATAGACTAAATGATTTCCAATCTAAGTAAGAAAATTAAATACTAATTAGGTACCGACTATCAGCTACTTATACCGAGGAGATTATTTGTTGGCTGGCTAGAAGTTGGTTCATTACGAGGTCGTAGTCTGCTATTTGAAGGGAGAGGGAGGGTTTAGACCGCCGTGCTCGACCCAAAGACACCACAATTATCCCTTTTTGAACTTGAGCAGGCAGATGCTCAGCACGAGGAATACTAAAACCCAGGATGATATGGATATAAAACCAGCATAAACGGATGGATTAGACATGTCCCAACCACGTTGTAGGATAGAACGCAGCGATTCGGTAGGCTTCGTCAGAGGCAGGAAAAATGTTATGAACTGCAGGACGGGGTACATACCTTCAATGGGCCAAATGATGCCGCACAGCATAACAATTGGCAGGAAGGACCCCATAGCCACGTACGTAGCAGTGCGTTCCGTATCTACGGCGCACGCAATGACAAAGCCGAAACACATGCCACACAGGCCGTTGAGCAGACAGAGCCCGACCACGAGCCAAATATTACCCACGACCGTCAAGTGGAAGAAATAGAAGCTGACCACGAGGACGAAGATCATTTGGGCAAACATCACGGTGAACTGGGTAAACACCTGCGAGAAGAGGATTTCAGGGCCTGTCACACCGGCTACCAAACACCTCTCCAACATGCCCTCATTGCGATCAATCAACATTGCTCCCGATGTTATGGCCACCGACAAGAAGAAGATGATGGTGAGGATGACACCAGGTGCGGCAAAGTCCGTGAAATTGGGATTGCTGAATCCATATATAGGCGTCTTCCAGTCGACGGGCACTCGACCAAGCTTGGGATTTACATCGCAGTCCGTAAGCATCCTTTCCACGAAATCGAAGAATGTGTATTGCAGGTCCCTGTAAATGAGCGTAGATATCTGCTGATCTGGAAGTGGAAAAAGGCGTTACTTCTTGGGCCGTATGAAATCTATTCCACACTTACTTGACATGTCCAGGCGGACGTCTAGTTCGGACGACTCCACAGTGGCGTCGTCAGTGTATCGCGCATTCTCAGTTCGGTCCACCAGTGAAATAGAGTAGTTGCTTTGGAATATTAAAGATCCCCAGGCTTTGCCTCTCCGGACCAGATCGTGGGCCTCCTCATCACTGTAAGTGTATGTCTACGGGAAAGAATTGTGATTAAAAGTTGCCAGCTTTAAGGAAGGACTGGAATTAAATCCTCTACAGATGCGCCAACCAATTGACTTTACTTGGTTGTCACCTTCGGCTGAGGTTGAGATGATTGTCCTACGCCCAACAAGTAAGAAACGCACAGGGACTAATCTCTCTTCTATTTTATTTCGTCATTTGTCTTGGTCAAGTTAAAATGTGTGCGATGGAGGATTACCGCCTGATGGCTCAATTCTATACGTTATAAGTGTTTCGCCAAGTGGGACAAGAAGAACGACCAGTGAAATGGATGACCATGTGGGGTGTGCGTGGAATGGGGGAGGGGGGGAGGTAAACACGTATATAGCCATAACCGGTGACAAGATTGACAGAGATTTGCAGTTAGTCCTTGTCAAATTGACGTGTGACAGTGCCATTATCGTGGCAATGTTTAGCAACATGTTTTGGTCGCACCTAAGCTGGCCCACAAAGCTTTGACAAATTGAATCAAATTATTGATGGTGTAACACCATCTTCGCTTAGATCCGCAAATGAGACGCCGAGCTACCGAAGCGACACACGACACGTTTCAGATACAATCGGGTGGATCGCATCAAGTTGCGGCAGAACACATGAAAATCTTTCGAAGAATATGTGTTGTACTTTTGTCTGACGTTTAAGTCGGACACACCACTCCCAATATAGGTTTCGAGTCCCATGATAAATCTAATTTCAAATATGGCAGTTATATCCTAAAATAATTAGCCCTACATCCCATATGCGTTCTTGGCGTTAAAGGCGATTAATTATTTTGTGGGAATCCCTTTGAGGTTGTCACCTGAGCAATGGTAGCAAATAGATGGATAGATACTCACCAAAACGTAGCTCTTGTTTTTGACCAGCATATCCAGGTAGCGGCAACTCAACATGGTCTGATTGCAACCCACGGTTTGGGGACAGAACTGTTGGGCAACCATTTCATCCGAAAGCTCGTGATTGGCGACGGCTATCTTAAGGCCCGTGGGGTCATGCCCGATTGCGTAGCAGAACAAAATTATTTGAACGACGGGTAGACCGAGGATAAATAACATGACCCTGTGACAAAGTGGAAACATGAATCGATATCGGAGTCGTAATCGCTATAAGAAGTGCACTTACCCCACGTTGCGGATCATCCACAGGAATTCTTCCACATTAATGCGTGCAAATGGTTTCCACTCATGACATGTAAGTGGTACCAGAACGATGCAGGTATCTCCTGCTCCGGGGGTAACGGTGGTGCCGGTACCGATGAAGAGGTTATTGGATCACGGACAGCCGAGGACATGGATATGTTGTCGCCGAATTCTCCAGATATTTCTGCTGCGCCTTGCTCATCGGATAAATCCAGTGCCGGATTTGAGATGGCTGGAACGGAGACTTGTTCGACAATTTCTTGAGCAATGGAGGACCGTCGTCTCTTGCCCATATTTTGTAGGATGGCTAACTTCAGGAACACTTCCTCTAGGGAATCTGCATTGTATTGTTGCCTCAAATACTCGGGAGATTCCTCTGCCAACATTCGTCCGCCACGCAACAGCCCAATCTGAAAAAACAGAATAGCGCATTAAAAGCTATGGCCAACAAAGCATTGCATGGTTATCCCGTTATCTCTTGTTGGCAGCATAAATCACGCGACATTGATTAACCCCCACTTTTAAGAGTCGAACATGAACTACTTGCGCCATGATATATTGCCAAGTTTCATGAACTTTCGCCCAACTCCTATCTTTATTGGGGTCCAGCTAGGCTTCTCATCGTGGTTTTGCATATCTTCCAAGCAGTCGCGGCGTTGGAGGGCACGTTGGCTAACATCCTCCTACGGCCACCCAAGCACCTGTCGTAGTGTCTTTCCTGCATGGCAGGCCGGAAATTTTAGCCGGTAGCAGGCGGAAATTGACTTAATTGATTTATGTTCGAACATGACTAGACACATCGTCATGCCTTTGCCGCTTCTTCGCTTCTTGGTGGCATGTCAGAAAAGATGTTCCCCTTGCCTCTGACCGAAAATGAGGCAGAGTACAAGTGAAAGCGGAGCCCGAAAACGTAGAGTACACTTGTGTAGTGGAAGGCTTTTGTTTTTGTTTCGCTTGGAATCAACCACCAGGCATTCCAGCTATGTATCTCGGACTAGCCCGCCCACGGACACATCAACACGGCTGTCTGTGAAAGTCTGTTCGCCCACCAGGGAGAGTGTGTGGTCTGCATTCGAAAACTTTTAAGAATTCTCCCGGCCAGCTCTGCAATTATAACAGCATTACGTTTACATATTCATGCCCTTGCATGAGTCGGGCTGGGCTTGGTATGAGTTCTTGGCGTAATTAATGAACTTTATTGGAAGATTGATAAAGTTCGCTTCGTCCTTCGTGGCAAGACAAAAAATTGAATCAAGTGGTGAAGTAAAAGGATAAACCGTAATGTTAGGGCAGACGTATCTGTCTGCCATACATGCAATTGTGTGGACGTAATCCAATTTCGATTTCCTCCCCCCCCCAGCCGGATATAAATTCATTCGGTCAGTATTTTTGTGGCGAATACGAATTAAAACAAATGAAAGTTCGTTCCTCTCTAATCGACGGCGGTAAACAAACAAATGTCTCCGATATATCATGAAATCATACACCGAATAATGCGTTTCCATCTTGACTTTGACTTTCCATCAATGGTCGAATGTCCAGGCAAATGTTGCACAATGCGACTGTGGACCAAGTCTGAATTTATAATACGGTGGTATATACCCTTAATGAAGTCAGAACGGGCGGTATTGTTATTTGAGGATATATGTAAGAAAAGGGTATTCTTTTCGGTGTTGCAAACAAAATGACAAGATAAATATGGCCTCCAATAGGTAATGTAGGCATAGCATGTCCCCAAATAGAAATATAAATTTTTAATTTCGGAAAAATACGTTTTTTACAGACATTACACTGAAAGAAAAATGCTTCGTTGCATCAATGAACCGGTTTCGTTGATTTTTTTCATTGATGCAATGAAAAGCTACATTAATATAATAAAATGTTTTCATTAATGTTACGAACACAATATTTTTTCAAAATTCAGTAAAAATGTGAATATAGAAATGATACATAAAAGCGCTGTCTTATACAAACAAATACGCAACCAAAGTGTTTACAATTAGAGGAAAAATTATGATAATTGTTATATTAAATTTGTGCTCCAATTTAATGGAGAAGTTTCATGAAATGGATGAAACGTTACGTTATGGAGTTCGTTAGACCAAACAAATGATACATGAAACATTTCATATCAATTGGACAATAGAGGCGATCTGCATTTTGTTCATAAAAATACAATTTAATGGAGAAGTTTCATGAAATGGATGAAACGTTACGTTATGGAGTTCGTTCTTAGACCAAACAAATGATACATGAACATTTCATATCAATTGGACAATAGAGGCGATCTGCATTTTGTTCATAAAAAAACATGGGCAGACATGCATAAACGAATCAGAACGTGATTTTTATAAAGGTCATCCAAAAAAGTAGGGTTTATCTCGCATATTTCTACCTGTTACAAACAAATGCACAACGACAAATTACCCACGGAACATAGGATTTATGTATGGTATGAAGCTTTTCTTTCAG